TTACGAGACCGCCTTCTGCCACAGATTCCCTCCCACAGACCGGTACGCTCCCACAGAGCGGGCCTCCTCAGGGTGCCGTCGGCCAGGCAGTGTCGGCTGGCGACCCCCAGGGGGAGGGCCTTCTCTGTGGGTGCCCCCACCCTCTGGAACGAACTACCCCCCGAGATCCGGACGATCCCGGATCTCTTAACCTTCCGCCCTCAAGACATGGCTTTTTCAACAAGCGGGACTGACCTAGGGTGAATTTTAAATAGGGAAAAATTTTTAAAGATTTTAATAATGACACAGCCATTAATATATTTGATTTTTAATTGGTTTTACAGGGGAAATGTTTTTTGTGTTGTTTTTTAACATGCTGTGAGCCGCCCTGAGTCCCGTGGGGAGAAGGGCGGCATAGAAGTTAGTGATAAATAAAATAAATAAATAAAGGCCTCAAACCAGCCTCAAACATTCTCCTTAATTCCAGGAAGCCTTTTGGATCTAACACATCCCCAAAAATAAAGTTAAAAAAAAAAATTAAGAGGACTACAGTCCAGGGACTTATTTGCAAATAACCATACCAACAAAAAATGAGAAATAAGCTAAAATGGTACAGACTACAAAAGGATAGATGGGCAAGTGAAGGGGTGGGCAATTAATCCAAAAGGACAGTTTTATTAACCCAAAAGGACAGAAACCTAATCTAGACTTGGCAGCAAAAAATATGGAACACCAACATTGATAAAAATTGCAAGTGTGAGGTGGGTAATGGTGGCTGGCTGAGGAATTCTGGGAGTTGAAGTCCACAAGTCTTAAAGTTGCTAAGTTTGAAGACCCCTGGTTTAGCCTCTAGACTCCTTATTGTCTGTGTTGCTCTTCTCTGCATTCTTTCTAGGGTCTCAGCCTCTTTTTTTGCACCATGAAAAATCCTAGTTGGGGTTTGCAATTTACTCTTAAAAATAAATATAGTTCACAGAGTATTTCCACAAACATCTTGCTGCCAGTAAAAATGCTTTCAGACAATATTTGGACAAACCCTAATCTAAACTTTATGAAAGTGTAGATATCTGGTTGATTTTGTTTCTACGTCACTGTGCTTGAATTCTTTTCTGGCCTTAGTTAGATATATTCCACTCCTCCTGCAATTTTAATGCCACACAAAAATTAATCTTTAGAAGAGAAGAACCACAACCAGCAATTCTCTGCTCCCAAATGATATATCACATATTTGGAACAGAGTTGCCTGACAAGAAAGGAAGCACCAAGCATATAAAATAGCAGCTTTCTATTAAAACAGATGTTTTTCACTGTACCATTACTGGGTTGCTCAACTTGCGAAACCTGAGTCACGAGGTCCTTATTGTGTCTCAGAAACAGGATAGTGTTTCTCAGGGTGAGTGCGTGATCAAAGTATCTTTGAGCTTCACCCTCTCCTGTACTTTGAACCTAAATAAGAGAAGACAAATATGGACTGTCTACGCAAATGCAGTTGCCACAGCAAATTGAATTAAAGTATTACACAACATGCCCAACTCAGGGATTATGAATGTCACAGCTGCTTTGACATTCTAAAGAAAAAATAATATCTATTACATTCACAGCTATTATATTCCTACCGTGTTTCCCCGAAAATAGAATAGAGCTGGAAGGGACCTTGGAGGTCTTCTAGTCCAGCCCCCTGCTCAAGCAGGAGAACCTATATCATCTCAGACAAGTGATTGTCCAGTCTCTTCTTAAAAATCTCCAGTGTTGGACCACCCAAGATTTCTGGAGGCAAGCTGTTCCACTGGTTAATTGTCCTCACTGTCAGGAAGTTTCTCCTTAATTCCAGGTTGCTTCTCTCTTTGGTCAGTTTCCAACCATTGTTTCTCGTCCTTCCCTCTGGTGAACAAAGTGACCCGCTCTTCCTTGTGGCAGCCCCTCAAATAATGGAATACTATAATGTCTCCCCTATTTCTTCTTTTCTGTAGACTAGCCAAATCCAAGTCCCGCAGCCGTTCTTCGTATGTTTTAGTCTCCAGGCCTTTGATCATCTTAGTTGCTCCTCTTTCAATTTTTCCCAAACTCTCAACATCTGTTTTGTGATATGGTGAGCAAAATTGGCTGCAGTATTCCAGGTGTGGTTTTACTAGGATTTTTATAAAGCGGTACTAATACTTCGCGTGATCTTGATTCTGTAATGTAATGTAATGTAATGTAATAATCAGGTCTTATATTAATTTTTGCTCCAAAAGACGTATTAGGTCTTATTTTCCGGTTAGGTCTTATTTTCGGGGAAATACGGTACTAAGATAAGATAACTTTTATTGTCTTTTTTTTTTTACTGTGGGCACAACGGCACACATCAAAAATGAAATTTAGTTGTCCACTCTCAAAGTGAAACACATACATGACACACACCTAAACATACTATATACAACACATGTACAGACCCACACTCTACATATACATAACAAATATATATTAAATACTGTCCATCTTGAATATATAAAGGAAGGAGGAAGCTTGAGAGTTCACAAGGTTAATGCTGTATGGAATGAAACTATGGCTGAATACATGCCTACATCTATCTGACTGACAATCTAAACTGGGGCTTATTTTGGGGGTGGGGCTTATATTATGAGCATCCTGAAACATCATGCTCAGGCTTATTTTCCAAGTGGGTCTTATTTTCAGGGAAACATGGTAGTACTAGGGTAACCTGCACCATATGAAAAATGGAAGGCAAAATTCAGTACTTTAGTTCAAGGCTTTTCAACCAGTGGTACAGATACCACCTGTGGTACATTTTTATAGGTTAGCTTTAGGTGCTATAAATATAAATATATTTATGCTGCAACAGTTGTGTGAAAAACAGTCATAAGTCACTTTTTTCAGTGCTGTTGTAACTTTAAACAGTCATTAAATAAATGATTGTAAGTCAAGCACTATATTTAATGAGCAAAGCTTCTTCGGATTTTTTCCTAGAAATTCAATTATCAAGGGTTTCATTTATGATTGATATAAAAAGAGCCACGTGCTGAGTTATATCATGAAAATAAATGGGGGGTGAGTGGGATAGGGTGGAGGGAGAAGAGGGGCAATGTTGTTTCTACAGGTCTGCAAACTGGATCCAGCACTTCAATTAGCTTTCTATAATCTTAGAAACTTTCCCAAAGTTTTGGTTTTGTCCAGCAGAGAAACAAACAAAGATCATGGTATGAGCTTTGGATTTTGAAGAATGGCATGTATGCTGTAACTAGAAAGCCTTTAATGCAAGACAGTAGTCCTGTCCCATTCTGATCACTGCCACAAGAATTACGCTGTGTAAAACAGGGGTCAGTTGCTTTTACCTTTTCAAGTTCCACCAGAAAACTGTCCAGTGACTCATCTGACAGTTTTCCTACTTCGAACATGGTGACCGCATGACTTTTCAAATTCTGCAAGACAAAATGCATCGCTACTAATTTTCAGATATAATTCAAGATTAAAAAGCGCTGCGAAAAAGAACGTAGATAAAAAAACGCCTCTTGAATGCCTTTTGTGAAAATCAGTGCTTTAAAACGGACTTTTACCCATGATTCCATTTAAAAATAAAAATAATCCAAGAACGTTTTAATCTGTTGAGTTCACTCAGATGAGCACGTCAACTTACCGGTGAAAGATTCCCCATCATTAAAAAGGCAGTCAGAGTTGAATCAAAGAGGAATGCTATCCTCTTTGTGTGTGCGGTAGACAGGCTTAAGCTGTTCACGCTGGCTGTGTCACCTTGGGAAGCAAAACAAGATCAAACCGGTCAAAATGGAATTCTACGAATCAGAATTGCCTATCCTACTAATGGACTCGCCACCTAGTCGGGATGGTGTCGAACAGTGTGACCGACAGCTTGCAAAACTGAGCGAATCGCCCTCTGCTGCCCTCACCCACCTGCCATTTGGATATGCTCTAAATCAGCTGATGTGCTATGATGTCACTGTAAGGTTTGTGTTATTCTTGCAATTAAAGTCTGAAATACTACAGATTTATTTATTTATTTATTTATTATTTAAATTTATATACCGCCCTATCTCCCTTACGGGACTCAGGGCGGTGAACAGGCGATAATAAAAATCACAATAAATATTAAATAAAAAGCCTGCTCTAAAATACCCCATATAAAAGCCCCTACCAAAACACAATCCAAACTACGCCAGGCCGGCCGCACGGAATAGATGGGCCTTCAGGGCTCGGCGAAAAAGGCGCAGGTCCGCAACTGTACGTAGGTCGGGGGGTAGGTCATTCCAGAGGGCAGGAGCTGCCACAGAGAAGGCTCTCCCCCTGGGGGTCGCCAGCCAGCATTGACTGGCCGACGGCACCCTAAGGAGGCCTTCTCTGTGGGAGCGGATTGGTCGAAGGGAGGTGTTTGGTAGGAGGCGGTCTTGCAAATACCTAGGTCCATTACCATGGAGCGCTTTAAAGGTTGTTACTAACACCTTGAAGCGCACCCGGAAGGCCACAGGCAGCCAGTGCAGCTCGCGCAGGAGAGGTGTTACATGGGAGTATCTAGAGGCCCCCAAAATCCCCCGTGCGGCCGCATTCTGAACTAGCTGGAGCCTCCAGGTGCACCTCAAGGGGAGCCCCATGTAGAGAGCGTTGCCACTCAACTTACAACCATTTATTTAGTAACTGTCTGAAGTTGCAAAGGCAGTGGAAAAAGTGACTTACGATTGGTCCTCACACTTATGACTATTACAGCAACCCCGTGGTCATGTGTTCAAAATATGGGCACATGGGCAACGTTTGAAGCCTCCTGGTGGGGTCATGTGAGCTTCCTCTGTGAGCTTCTCAGCCAGCTTCTGACAAGCAAAGTCTTAATAACAGCGCAACCACCATGTGTTTCACTTAACAGCTTCAGTGATTCAGTTAACAACCATGGCAAAAAGGTCACAGACCTCAACTCACTTAACAACCCTCTTGCTTAGTGATGGAAATTCTGGTCCCAATTGTGATCATAACCTGAGAAGTACCTGCATAATGCTTCAGCACCGAACATGATACTGAATTAAGGCCTTAAGTATCTCGGCATATCTAACAGCTATTGGCTCAGGTGCTCTGAAATACAAACAGGCTGCGAAAAATATCAAGGCAAGAAATTTAATGGATAGAAAATCCCGAGTTTCACAATCTTGGTATCTGTGAGCAATTCTAACGACATTAGGCAGTAGAGAGACTTATACTGAGTGTTATTTTGCTTGGGCAGGATGCCTCAAATAACCTGACAAACTCCCACAGCACATAAAAATTTCCTTCGGCTTCCAGCTGGAGATAAGACAAGACACACCCTTCCTACAGAGTTCTACAAATGTAGTGTAGTCTAGCCTGAGATAAGGATATAATCTTCACCTTAAAAGAATACAAAATATAATCTATTGCTGATTTTTTCCTCTCTCAATCGGTGGCTCCCCCTTCACTGCAAGCGGGCATGTTAGGTTTTTCCATGTTTAATGCCTCCAGCATGCACAGACTAGCACAGTGGTGGCGAATCTATGGCACGGGTGCCAGAGGTGGCACTCGGAGCCCTCTCTGTGGGCACTCGCGCCGTCGCCCCAGTCCTAGGCCTTCAGCTGGGTTTTATAAAACCTTTTGTCTTTAGGCCTCCGCCGCCATGTGCAAAAAAAAAAAAAAGTTTCAATCAGTCAATTTCAACTTCTCGCGGGAAAAAAAAAAGATCTTGCAAAGTTGATTGATGGAACTTTTTAGTCCCACGGAGTCTGCCATTACCACCGCGGCCACGCCCACCCAATGGGCCACGCCCATCCAATTGGCCACGCCCATCCAATGGGCCACACCCACCTGGCACTCAACGATGCATAAGTGGGTTTTGGGTTGCAATTTGGGCACTCAGTCTCTAAAAGGTTCGCCATCACTGGACTAGCACGTTTGAAACAAATCCTTGCAACTCCTGAATCGGTGCAGTTTAAGAATCCCTGCAACACGTTGCCAGCAGAGATCAGAAGATGGCAGGCACGGGATGGTATGAACTGCAACTGATAAAACTAGCAGTCAGCACCTAATTGCTCACCTTGATCATCTTGACTGTTGGTATCTGTATCGGTGGCAGAAGAGCCAGCCTCTTGTACAGGACTTCTGCTTTCTCCACCGTCCCAGGATAACAGCATCTTCTGTGGGTCCAACGTTGTCCTAACGAGGGGAAAACGTGTCATGGGAAGAGTTTTTATAGGGTCAGATCAAAAGATTACCTAATCTGCAATCTTGTAAGTCAAGCATCTGCCTCCTGAGGAGTCTACAAACAGGATCTGAGGACAGCAGATCCCTCCCACTACGGTGCCCCAGCAACTGATCTGAATATCTGAGGCTGTGACACTGGGTGGAGCGGTCATCTCAAAATAGCATACCATTCTAGAAGTCCATAGGCTCTCAGCAAAGATTTGAGTTACATTTTTTTAGGCTTTACAGTCCAACATTCACTACCCAAGCTTCCGGCTTACTATCACTGAGCCCAGATTAAATTAGAATTCTCAGGAAACTGGCTTTAAGCAGTGAAAAAAGAAACCTTGATTTATTTTGTGAAGCGACTCTGACTCCTGTATTATAACATGAATTTGGAAATGGAAAGATTTAAAGGTGCCGTTTCTTTGTGAGAATTAAGTGGCAACATTTGTAGCTGTGTGTTTAGAAAGTTTAATGAGGCTCCATTGAATTCAGAGGCTTTTTATTCACAGATGTGAGTAGGATTAGACCAGGGGTAGGCAACGTTGGCTCTTTTATGACTCGTGGACTTCAATTCCCAGAATTCCTGAGCCAACATGCTGGATCAGGAATTCTGGGAGTTGAAGTCCACGAGTCATAAAAGAGCCAAGGTTGCCTACCCCTGGATTAGAACCTGCACTGTATTGAAATTGCATTTGCTAATCAGCAGAGAGAACTTTACTAGGAGTTTGCAAAGGACACAAGCCCCTTAAAAAGGAAAACCCTTTTATATGCCAGAAGAGACAAAATTTGATGCTGCTGCAATGCAATCCATAAGGGTCTGTGATATTTCCCTTGCTATGTTTCACCATAAAATTGCAGTGTGTTAGCCAAGTTTTTCTTTAAAGGGGCAGTTCCTTATTTTTCACCTTACCCAACATTTCATTAGACTCTTGATATTAGGTCTTGGACAACTAGCACGAGAATATAGGTAGTCTTCAACTTATGACCACAACTGAGCTCAAAACTTCCGTTGCTAAGCGGGGCAGTTCTTAAGTGAATGTTACCCCATTTTACGCCCTTTCTTGCCGGAGTTGGTAAGTGAATCACTGCAGTTGTTAAGTTAGTAACACAGCTGTTAAGTGAATTGGGCTTCCCCATTGACTTTGCTGGTTAGAAGGCGGCAAAAGGGGATCACGTGACACTGCAGCTGTCATAAATGTGAATCAGTTGCCAAGCATCCGAATTCTGATCACGTGACCATGGGGGTATTGCAACGGTTGTTAAGTGTGAAAACGGTCATAAGTCACTTTCAGTGCTGTTGTAACTTTGAACGGACACTAGAGGAACGGTTGTAAGTCGAGGACTACTTGTATTTGAATTGAGAGCATTTTTTAAAAAAAAAACCTCAGATAGAAGTATTTGCCACCAAAGACAAGATTGGCTCCCTGATCTGTTCCTTCTGCAGGCAGGCACCAATATTTTAATTCAGGCAAGGGGGCCTTGGATGGCTCACTGGGTTTTCAGCTGATAAAGTGGCAAAGAGGGAGAGAAAGAAATAGAGAGATACCATATTGGGCATTTGTTGCTTAGCACATGTCGTAACTATACTTCAATGGCATTACTACTTTTATCAGCTAGTTTGTGGGCTGCCTTGAACACCATCTACTGATCTGTTGGTGAAAAAGCAAAATGTCAGTCCACCTTTTAGAAATACTTTGATTCCAATAGCTTTTAGAAGAATATTTTAGAAATACATTGATTCCAAAATGGACAACAGTTTTTGGAAAAATGTAAAGGTATCACCTGACTGCAATTTAAGGCAACTGTGTCCTTTTTCTGGGATCACAGCCAGGGGATCCTGTGCAATCCAAGGGAAAGATATAATTAATTTTAAAAGTTGGAAATGAGAGCTACTTTTCTATCCCCAGGTTTCCTGAAGCAGCTTTTTGCAACACGTATACAGTACACAGGGCTTTTTTTGTTATAGAACGCCCAGAACGGAGTTCCGGCACCTTTTTTGGATGGAACCTTGTAGGGTAGGCAAGGCGGGTTGTATGACGTGTGTGAGTTCTGGCACCTTTTTTTTTTACAAAAAAAGCACAGCATATACATAATCTCATATACATAATCCTCTATGCTAGTGTTTCTCAACCTTAGCAACTTTAAGACCCCTGGAGTTCAACTCCTAGAATTCTCCAGCCATGATGGGCTGGAGAATTCTGGGACTTGAAGTCCAGATGTCTTAAATTTGCCAAGTTAAAAAGCTTTGCTCTATGCATATTACTGACTATTATCTACTATGATTCTTCAGGACAGCATTTGGATAAATGCTGAAATAAATACAGAGTAAAACTGAGGTAGGAAGCTGAGGAAATTGTCCTCTTCTGCTTTCAGTAGAAAATTGTACTTTTATACTTACTTTAGCCTGTTTATTGAGGGAACGTTCCGCCATGATGAATGAAGATTATCCAGGTTTATTACTTGACCCTTTTTATGGGCAAACCCTAGCCGGCAATACATGGAAACAGCATTCTGGGAAAAAAAAATTCCTTTTAATCAGTATGCTGTATTTCTGTTTAATAATTTTGAGAAAGAGAAATAGAAAAGTTGAGCAACAGAACAGTTAATCTTTTCTCTTATACAATAAAATGGAATTGAAGCCTACCTTCACAAGCGACAAATCAATCTCTAGGACATTTGCTAGCTGAAAATATATAAAATAAGTAAGGATTATTGATAATTGTGTTCATTTACGTCAGCTCCGTTAAAAATGTCACAGTGCCTACCATATAAGAGAGCCAATGACTGAATTATATAGTGTTTTCTTGGAATATTTAACAACATTTCATCGTGGTGAAATAAAAGCAACCAATGAACTCATCGGCCTGGTCAACTGGCTAGTGTTCTAATACTAACTGTAAATACATTTCAAGTGTTTAGCAGACTCTTTAAGACAGTGGTTCTCAAACCTTTTTAATGCCGCAACCCCAACCGGTCGTAAGTCGAGGACTAAACCGGTCGTAAGTCGAGGACTAACCGGTCGTAAGTCGAGAACTAAACCGGCCGTAAGTCGAGGACTACCCAACCGGTCGTAAGTCAAGGACTTTCCCTGCCCTGGAGCGCCGCGCATGTGTGGTTCCGCCCCCTGCACCGGCTGAGGCGTAGCTGGCAAGCGGCAGAGACGGAGCAGGCCAACCACCAGCTGGCCCAGCCCAAGGGAGGTAAGGCACCCGCCGGAAAAGGGGGAAAAAATGGCGGACAAAAAAAATGGCGGACAGCCTTGCTTGGCGACCCCCGTGAAATGGTCGATCGACCCCAAATGGGGTCCCGACCCACAGGTTGAGAACCACTGCTTTAAGATATCAATGCACTCCACAATGATAAATCTGTATCACCTTATGGAAAATGCATTCTTATACAATTTCACAATCTCAGCAGTTTTCCTGCATTTGGAACACAGCCACAGTTTAGCAGCACAATATATACTTCGAAATCTAAAGCTCCTTGGCCTAAAGTTCGACTGATAGTCTGATCCAGCGTAAATCAGCTTTGTTGGTTCATATGAAGGCAGATTTCAGATGAGACAGTTGAAGTACTTTCAGCGCTACATTTCACAGTCATTTCAAGGATTTATTACGTGAGTTAATAATGCTTTCTATTGGAAAATGTTTTCCATTAGCACAAAAAGGGGGGGGAGGGGGGAAGTAGCACATCCTTCTGGTTATTTTTCCAATTTAGCACAGCAACCTTACATCATCAGCTCTGTAACAGAGACTGAGCGGGGGGTGATCGTGATGGCAGGAGGCTGAGGAATGGCTCCTCATGGGAATGGTGCGATGAAATGGTTTTATTTATTATTTAAATTTATATACCGCCCTATCTCCCTTACGGGACTCAGGGCGGTGAACAGGCAATAATAAAATCACAATAAATATTGAATAAAAAGCCTGCTCTAAAATACCCCATATAAAACCCCTACCAAAACACAGTCAAAACTACGCCAGGCCGGCCGCATGGAATAGATGGGTTTTCAAGGCTCGGCGGAAGAGGCGCAGGTCCGTAGTTGTACGTAGGTCGGGGGGGGGGGGGTAGGTCATTCCAGAGGGCAGGAGCTGCCACAGAGAAGGCTCTCCCCCTGGGGGTCGCCAGCCGGCATTGACTGGCCAACGGCACCCTAAGGAGGCCCTCTCTGTGGGAACGGACTGGTCGAAGGGAGGTGTTTGGTAGGAGGCGGTCTTGCAGATACCTAGGTCCATTGCCATGGAGCGCTTTAAAAGTTGTTACTAACACCTTGAAGCGCACCTGGAAGGCCACCGGCAGCCAGTGCAGCTCGCGCAGGAGAGGTGTTACATGGGAGCATCTAGAGGCCCCCAAAATCCCCCACGCAGCCGCATTCTGAACTAGCTGGAGCCTCCAGGTGCACCTCAAGGGGAGCCCCATGTAGAGAGCATTGCAATAGTCCAGGTGGGAAACAACGAGGGCTTGAGTGACCGTGCGCACGGCGTCACGATCCAGAAAGGGGCGCAACTGGCGTATCAGGCGAGCCTGATGAAAAGCCCCCCCTGGCCACGGCCGTCACATGATCGTCTAAAGACAGCCAAGCATCCAGGAGGACGCCCAGGTTGAGACCTGTCCTTTCTTCATCCCCAAGCAAGGTCATTACCCCCTTGGTGGTCTTAGGATTCAGCTGCTGTTAGGTCAGTGTGTCCTATCCTCGTCCATGATCTGATGAGAGATGGGGCAGACAAGCTGGAGTTTATAAACCAGGCCTGGGTAAGCCTGGAAGGTGAAGCTCCCTTCTCAGGAATATGCTCACTTGGCTTTGGGGTTTGGCACTGTACGACCAGGGGGAGGGGGAGAAGGCAGAGAGCCAGTTGGCAATCACGAGACCTTAATGGCTTTTACAGGCTCAGCTCTGTAGATAACCATGCATGAGCTCCTCCAGTTGAAACTGAGCTCTGTGGAGCAGTAGAGTTTTTTGCTGTTGCACTAGCCTTCCTCTTTACAACCATTCATTTAGCGACTATTCAAAGCGACAACGGCACTGAAACAAGTGACTTACAACCAGTCCTTGCACTTACAACTGTCGCAGAATCCCCCACTACCTATAAATCGTGATTAGGGTCTGACCAGATGATCCTGTCAAGGTCTTGTTCCAAGGTCACCTAGTGGGAGCCAGGAAGGGGTCCTCTTCTGTCATAACCTGCCTGCCCTCTGGAACGACCCCTTCCCTGGAGATCCATTTGCCTCCCGAACCTTATATAAATAAGCTCTTAAAATCTGGCTCTCTCCCTAGGCCTCGGACTAGACCAGGGGGAGGCAACCTTGGCTCTTTTATGACTCGTGGACTTCAATTCCCAGAATTCCTGGGCCAGCATGGCTCACCATGGAAACCTCTCCATTTCTCTTCAGCGTGACTGGCTCAGGAATTCTGGGAGTTGAAGTCCACGAGTCATAAAAGAGCCAAGATTGCCCACCCCTGGATTAGACTTAGTAGCAGGTCCCTTTGGGGATGACTGAGTCATAAGATGTTATTTTTCCAGAGGCTCGTTTTCTGTATTGTTTGTTTTCAAAGTTTTGTGTTTTTCACTGTCAATTAAAAAAAAAAAGTTGAATCTTGGGAAAGTTGTGTATTGTTGCTCTTGTTTTATGCCTTTGTTGGAAAACCTTCCTGAATTACGAACTCAGACTGCATTTTGACTTCTCTCTTTGCAAACTGTGCAGGCAAGCTGAGATTTACGCGGACTCATTAAGTCGATGTTTTGTTTTGTTATCTTTATGGCCTTGAGGACATTCGTATACTGATCAAGCTGTACTGAAACTGCCTTCAGCCAGAGTCGGCTAGAAGGTGTGTGTGTGTATTTGGGTTGGAGGCTTGCCAGCTAATGTGGGAGTATTTGGAAGAAATTTGCAACCATTAAAGAACTGTTTACATTGCCAGCTGTCTGCATTGCCTTTGTGCTGTGCCCTGGGCCATCACACCTACGAAGGGCTAAAGAAGGATGACTGCAGAGCTGGTAGCAGTTGCCAATCAACTACAACAACCAATTGTTTGTTTATTTATATTTTTACAATTTATATTCATGCAGTTGCTCATTTCATCCATGGGACTCTGGGAATTACAGGAGTTACAGGAATTAAAATACAATGCAATATAAATTAAAGAAAAATTAAATAAAAAATATAAATAAATAAAAGCTTCTGAGCAGGTCAGGTGCTGGTTTACAGCCTCAGAGTAGTATTTAAATAATGACTTACCTCTGCAACATTTGTGTGCTCATCTATGGAGACAAATATCTTGTACAGCAGAGTTTCAAAATAATCTCCCTGAACTCTGTTCATCACAAATCCTTCAAGTGGAGGCACTGAAAAGAAAAGCTATGTTTTTAAGGATATTGTTAAGTATAACAAGAAGTGCCATTTACCAAAGTAAGAATATACAATAGAATTCCTGCTTCTCTCTTTCAGAAGGGACAGAGACTTTCATAAGCGAATGAGATACACTTATTTTTCTACTTGTAACTTTACCAAATACAGGAGGTCCTTGACTTACAACCAAAATGAAGCCCAACATTTCTGTGGCTAAGCCAGGCAGTTATTCAGTGAGTTTTGCCCCATTTTACGACCTTTCTTGCCACAGTGGTGGTTAAGTGAATCATTACACTTGATAAGCTATTAACACGGTTGTAAAGTAAATCTGGCTTCTCTATTGACTTTGCTTGTAGAGAAGGTCGTAAAAGGTGATTATGTGACCCCCAAGACAATGCAACCATGGGGATGTTGCCATGGTGGCTAAGTGTGAAAAACGATCATAATTCACTTTTTTCAGTGCTATTATAACTACGAAAGGTCATTAAGCGAATGGCTGTAACCTGAGGACTACCTGTATCAAATGCGTAAATGGGACATCTTCATCACGCACACGTACTGTAGGCTCTTCAACATTAAAATTTTCATGTAAGATTCCTGTACAACAGGGCTCTTAGAACTTGGCCCTTTTATGACTTGTGGACTTCAACTCCCAGAATTCCTCAGCGAGTGTGCCACAAGTCATAAAAGGGCCACGTTTGAAGAGCCCTGCTGTACAACTATTAGCCTTGGACTTTATAGGTCTTCTATTACGGCTGTTAAACCTGATAATGAAGCAAAAGCATGTGCTCACATTTGTTTTAGATTACAAATAGGCTAGGAAGGGATATATATATAGTGATCGGTAATAAAATAAGATATGGTTGGAGCAAACATTATTTCTTCCTTCGGCCTATGACTTAGGATCAGTCCACAAAGCTAAATTATGGAATGTACAGCCATATCAAAGTAAGTCTTTCGGCACACAATGAAACTGAGATCTGGAATTCAGCCTCATTATGTCATTAAACTATTCAGTCAATTGTCCATAGCAGGGGTCCCCAACCCCTGGGCTGTGGCCCGTTTGGAACCCGGCCGCACATGTGGTGGGGACCCGTGCTTGTGTGCGCGGCCCCACTTGCACAAGCAGCAGGCGATCACTCTCGCACGGTCAGCTCCATTTGTGTGAGCAGCAGGTGTGTGTGCCCGCCTCTCATACAAATGGAGCTGCACACGCAAGCACACTCACCCACTTCTTCCGTGGAACCATCCCCTCTTTCCCCCCCCGCCAGTCCGCAAAGCCAGAAAGGATGGAGGCTGTTGGTCTATAGAGTTTCTCAGTCGTCCAGGTTATAATTGTCCCAAAGGAGTTTTTTCAAAAGGCAACTGGGCTTCCTTTGTTTTTCCTTGAAGACGTGTCGCTTCTCACGCAAGAAACTTCTTCAGTTCTGACAGCTCAGTTCTCCAGTAAGAACTGAAAAAGCTTCTTGGATGAGAAGCGAAAAATCTTTCAGAAAAAACAAAGGAAGTCCAGTCGCCTTTTGAAAAAGCTCCTTTGGGATATTAAGTCAGTTAAACTATTACGTGTTTAATTGTTATCAGTATACTGAACAGGTTTCTTTTAAAAACAGTTATACGCACCTGCTATGCAACTGTCATCGGATATTGGTACATCAAGGTAGATAAACCCCTTGTTATATAAGCCTATGGATACAAAAAAAAGAACCCCATTATCACAACAGATTCTCATGCAGTGTCTTCAGTCTGTTGTGCTGAGAAACGAAGAAAGTGAGGCAGATTTCAGAAAATGGTACATGGGATACTGACAGTTATGTTCACATTTTTCTCTAATTCAAATTAAATCCAGTTGCTCCTTTGAAAATTAATCCAAATTACTGCATGCATGGCACAGTATTGCATAGAGATGCTATTAAGACAGGATACATCTGTGGCACAGATCTGAGAGACACAAAACTCATTCTCTAAAGCAGTGTCCTCATCCTTGGCAACTTTAAGATGTTTGGGTTTTAAGACATCTTAAAGTTAACTTTAAGAATTCTTTGATTTGAAATCCAAACATCTTAAAGTTGCCAAGGTTGAGAAACACAGCTCTAAAGTATCCTTCTTAACGTGATTTTTTTTTCAAGATTGAAATTAATAGGAAACTAGGAAACATGTACACACACGTATACACACACACACACACACACACACACAATGTTGCTTTTTTGATGAGAGATTTCCTTTGAACATATTCAAATGAAAGTTCCAAAGCAAAAATGGCTAGAAAGTTATAACTGCAACTTTATCCCTATGCATATTTGCTTAAAACATGCTTCATCAAAATCCAAACATGAACATATCTGAACAAGAATTAAATGTACATTTCATAACTGTACAAAGAGCTTGGAAAAATACAAACATTTTAGCTGAAAAAATATCTGCAATAAAATCCTGCTGTAACAGACCAGTAGAGAGGGGTTATGTCCATTATTTCTAAATGCCTGTTAAATTGTCAATTATGTTATTTGCAGCAATTTATTATGTTATGTTCATTTGCATAATTATCTCATTTGGGGTTAATTATATCATTATGCCAATTGCTAGGAATGATGTGAAATTAATATAAATTTAATTTCCTTCAGGAGGATGCCTCGACAGAAATCTGGTTAACTTCATTCAAAATCCACTGAATTGATTTTGTTAAATTGTGGTTTCACTGTTTAGTCAAACATATTTGTGCTAAACTCTCAAGTGTCATACAAATAATTTTGTTGGTTCTGTGTGGTACTCAAATATTTCAGATAGATTAAAATTTGCAAGTAAATTTCCAGCAGCATGATTCAGATGATTGAGACTCTTATTCCATGAGCTGGAAGAGTTTAAATTATTAAGGCTATTCGCAAATATAACCCAGCAAAACTATTTTCCAAATTGAAGGGAAATCCCAAATACCTGATTCAGCATTAGGATCAACTGTTCTAATAAAGATACAGAATAACAGAGTTGGAAGGGACCTCAGAGGTCTTCTAGTCCAACCCCCTGCTCAGGCAGGAAACTCTAATACTATTTCAGACAACTGGTTGCCCAATCTGTTCTTAAAAACCTTCAGTGTTGGAGCACCCACAACTTCCGGAGGCAAGTCGTTCTACTGATTAATTGTTCTCACTGTCAGGAAATTTCTCCTTAGTTCTAGGTTGCTTCTCTCCTTGATTAGTTTCCATCCATTGCTTCTTGTTGGCATTCAGGCGCTTTGGAGAATAGCTTGACTCCCTCTTCTTTGTGGCAGCCCCTGAGATATTGGAACATTGCTGTCCTGTCCCCCCTCGTCCTTCTCTTCGTTAAACTAAACATACCCAATTCCAGCAACCGTTCCTTATATGTTTTAGCCTCCAGTCCCCTAATCATCTTTGCTGCTCTTCTCTGCACTCTTTCTAGAGTCTCAACATCTTTTTTACATCGTGGTGACCAAAACTGGATGCAGTATTCCAAGTGTGGTCTTACCAAGGCATTATAAAGTGGTATCAACACATCACATAATCTTGATAAAAAAGGAAAACTCATACAGAGAAAGGCAAATGCCCAAATTATTCTCTACTCATTGATTTTCTCTAACATGGAAGCTTTCCAATCTTTTAACTTAAATCTGTAACAAAAATAATATGCAAGAATCACTCTCTTGTTTGGAAGGAAAAAAACCACATAACTCACTGTGAACAACATTGTAGTCTAGGACTCCAGCAAGCTGAGGACCTGAATCAATGATTTTATCAACTGCAGATTTTTCACAGGGAGTGCATATCTAATGAGAAAAGTGTGTATTAAATAATGCATGCATAAGGTTTTAAAAATTATTTGATGCAGAGTGGGCAACAAAGAACACAATCTATGCCTATGCTGAGAACCCACTGTTGGACTGAATGCTAGAATAAATTTTTCACTAGAAAAACATGCATGTTTTCTATCATGTTAATTCAGGATCACTCAATGAAATTGTACTTTGTAGGAAAGTATAGATAGATAAAAGATTCTTTTTCAAACACTACACAATTAGTTTATGAAATTAAACACAAGCCACAGCTTATTACTGCTGTAATTTTCAAGCAACTTTATCAAACGTAATTCACCAAAAGAAAAGTTGCTGATCATAACAGGCCATGTTTTTATGTTCATGACCTGGAAATGGAGATAAACCCTTTAGCAGTCCACCTGCAAAGCCTAAATCTAACTGAGCTACAAAAATTATTTTATTTATACCTTAATGTCATCCTCTGTGATATAACCGGCTTGTACCACCCACCAAGCTTCAATGGCAATTTCTACTGGTTTCATGGGTAGCAGGTCACGGGCAGTTTTCCTTCTAAAAAATTTCTGAAACGGTTTAAGAAGAAATTTATGTTTTCAAATGCAGAACACTCAAATTGTTAAGCACACCATTCTGGGAGTTGAAGTCCACAAGTCTTAAAAGTTGCAAAGTTTGGAGACCTCTTGATGTAGACTGAAAGTGAGCAACTGTAGTAGGTTCTGGTTCGTATTTCAGTTTCGCCCACATAAATCTAAGTTCTTTTTAACTGAAGCCGATGCATCCATCTGAGAAAAAGTATTTCTTTACCTTTTACATAAGCCAGTGGTGGCGAACCTATGGCACAGAGCCCTCCCTGTGGGCACACGTGTCGTTGCCCCAGCCTTGCCTCCCCCCACGACCCCCTCCTCTCCAGCAGCCCCCCTGAAGGAGACTCGCCCTCGAGCGTGGCCCACATGGGGCAGCGCAGCCAAGGACATGGCAGCCAGGCAGCGTAGACAAGACTCTGCCCTCACACCCCATCATGCAGCTGATGCTGCAGGCCGCAGGCAGAAGGTGTGGCCGCCATAGCGCTGCTGGGCTGCCTGGGCGATCTGCAGCGGGCCCTGGAGGCGGTGAGTGGTCCTGTGGGCAGGCGGGGCGGGGGATGGGGGGGCAGAGTGGGAGAAGGGCAGGGGGGTGGAGCGGGGGCAGGGCCAGTTTTGGGGCACTCGGTCTCCAAAAGGTTCGCCATCATTGACATAAGCCAAAGACAATGATAATAAATACAAAGGGATAGGCCAGGGTTAGGTAACCTTGGCTCTTTTATGACTCGTGGACTTCAACTCCCAGAATTCCTTTTTTTTAAATAATTTTTTATTTTTCCAAACTCTCCCCCATAAATATACCGTGATATTTATCAGATGTTAACATACATTCTTTTTACATTCTTATATATAAGATACTTTTAATAAAATGAAATAAATACATACACATGACTTTTGGTGTTGCTCGCCCATTTCCCCTTTCACTGTATCCACACTCCTTCTTCTTTACCTTCTTTTTCCCTTCCTTCTCTTTCTTCCCTACTTCCCTCTTCTTCCTCCTCTCCTCTTCTCTTTCTTTCACCACTCTCCTCCCCTTTCTCCCCTCTCCTCTCTAAAAGGTTCGCCATCACTGACATAAGGCAAAGACAATGATAATAAATACATAGGGATAGGCCAGGGGTAGGCAACTTTGGCTCTTTTATGACTCGTGGACTTCAACTCCCAGAATTCCTGAGCCAGCCATGCTGAGGGGAAAGGGAGAAGTTTCCAAGCTGAGCAATGCTGGCTCAGGAATTCTGGGAGTTGAAGTCCACGAGTCATAAAAGAGCCAAGGTTGCCTACCCCTGGGATAGGCCATTTACCAATCAGAGGTCTACAGAACCTACAAAGTAAGCCTTGCATCGGGGTACTCAAACTCACTGACCCCTTTGTGAAGTTTTAGATTGGTCATCGACTCCCAGGCATTCTATGAAAATAATTTATTAAACACTGCTTTAATTATTAAGGATGATAATACCAACCCTTATAATCCCTTCAACCCTTGGAGCTGATCGTGCTGGAAGACCCTGCCTTTGCTGGTCACGTTAAATGCCCTTTTCTCCTTACTCTACTGTATCATACATGGGACTTGCTATCGCCATCGTTAGAGAGCTCTTCTTAGCCAATGTTGAAATAATTTTATTAGCTGCCAATTCATTTTAGGATGTACAGGTAGTCCTCAAGTTAGAACTGTTCATTTAATGACCGTTTGAAGTTACGACGTCACTGAAAAAAGTGACCCATGACCGTTTTTCACACTTACAACTGTTGTAGCTTCTCCATGGTCAAGTGATCAAAATTCAGACGCTTGGCAACTGACTCATATTTATGACGGTTGCAGTGTCCCGGGGTTATTTGATCCTTTTTTTGTGACCTTCCAACAAACAAAGTCAATGGGGAAGCCAGATTCACTTAACAACCGTGTTACTAACTTAACAGCTGCAGTGATTCATTTAATTGTGGCAAGAAAGGTTGTAAACTGGGATAAAACTCACTTAACAACTGTCTCACTTGCCAACAGAAATGTTGGGCTCAATTTTGGACGTAAGTCAAAGACTGCCCATAGCTGAAAAATGCAGAGGTTTACATTCAAAGCCATAAGTGAAAGAAAGAAAGCTTTCCACGTACTGAGACTTATCAGAAGCCCTTTCCAGAGAAACTGAGCAAGCAATAACTGGGAGGGTTTTTTCCTTTTTTCTTTTGATGGCTTCAGAAATCTCTCTAAAGCGAGGCATTCATTTCATTTTCCAAGCTGTCTCGGAAGGCGGAGATCGTTATGATTTCCCAAGATTTTAAAAAATTTCAGCCGAATTGAATTCGCCTTCCTGTTGGAGCGCTTTCATTTTTGGGAATGTGATTCAGTCATACATTTATAATATTGTATGACCAGTGCTACAGCGTTCTTTTTATTTTCAGCGTATTCTGTTCAAGGGCAGGGTATACTTCTTAATCAATAACTATATATCAGTACTGTGCAAAAGGATGGCAGGATATTTACTGCCATATTTATTTTCCCTCCAGAAACTGAGGAAAAGTCACAGAATAAAAAAAATGACCCTTGTAACTTGGAAAAGGCTACAGATGACCGGATGCAAACAGTGGCAAGCCAATATTTCATAAACTGCCAACTGTAACCTGCCAAAACAAACTGTCCTTGATAGCAGAGCCTCATAACTCACCAAGTCAAAGAACTGGAAATCTGCAAGCTCTTTTTTTAGGTTGCAAAAAAAGCTGGCTAGGCACAGTATGGGTGCTCAAAAGTATGAACATACTTGTTTTAATATCAACCTCTAAACAAGAGGTCAATAGTAGGTCAAATGGAGAAAACAGAATACATACTTTTGATGACCTACATTGGTTCATCAGATCAATATACTGGTTTCTTCCTATGCCAAGAAGCCTTAAGCCTGGGAGAGAAAAAAGATAAATCACTTAAAAACAGAATTATATTTGGAAACCTATTTTGAGAAAAAATATTACTAATATGCAGCATTGCTGCCATTTTTTCTGCTTATAACAAAAAAGGTACCCTTAAATGGGCAAAAACAGTAGATTTATCTGAACAATTTCATTTGTCATTGAATAACATTCAGTTGAAGATAGTCATTATATTCTGGTTGGCTGAAAACGAGCATTTTGTCTGGAATTATCATGCATTTTTAGCATGTAATCTAAACATCAGTTAAGTTCCTCCTTGATTCAAAAGTTATATAAGAACTTTATCTGAAAGACAGCTATGTTTGAAAGCAGTCACTACTGAGTTGGAACAAAGAAGGCCTTCTTAATTATCCTACAACTGAAAGATTTCAAACAAGATATATATATATATATATATATATATATATACTTGTAACAGCTTTTATCCAAGATAAGCACTGTTTTGAAAGCTTGTCCTGGAATTCTGAGCTTTTAGTCCAAGTTCTATATTTGTGCATTAGAAAGGAGAATGGGTATACCTGTAAAAACATTTATTACAAGTTATAGCAATCTAACTAGAATGTTAGATAATCAGAAAACTAAACAAAGACAGAAACATTACTCAGAGTAATTGCTTTAATGCTCTGTTAACAGCTAACTCTGTTAAGAGCCATGTTATGGACTGCAAAATGACTACACTAGAACAACCTAAATAATCTAAATATAATTATTATGGCTTACAGCTGAGATATGCAGGAAATTTATTTTGTTAACTTTCTCGATGTTATTCTCTTATCACTGTCTCTTTTGTTCTGTTTTCAGATGACAGATTTACTCTCTTAAACAAGTGTTACAACTTCAAAAAAAAAAAAAAAGGAACTATCAGGCAGCTGGGCTTTGGAAACCAGCAAATTCTTTTGAAAAAAGAAATAGGCATTTATTTAACCCATGTAAACATAATGTAAATTTATACTTACAGTCTGCCGCGGTAAAATTAGGCAATGAATCATAACTTTTTTCACTGTTCATTATGTCCTTTATGGAAAGAAAAAAAATGCAGGCTCAGTTTCAATGACTGTACTTTTTAAGCTTCATAGCTGTATACTGATGCTGTATCAGTATGTACTGCAAATCCTCTTATATTAAACCAGGGTTCTTCAAACCTGGCCCTTTTATGACTTGTGGACTTCAACTCCCAGAATTCCTCAGCCAGGAATTCTAGGAGTTGAAGTCCACAAGTCATAAAAGGGCCAAGTTTGAAGATCTCTGTATCAAACTATTGTCACTAGAAAAGAACTGGGCATTAACTGCTACAACAACCAATTGCCAATTCAACCTCTTCCCCATTATACATGCTTCCTTGATTGGAGAAATTGAACGACAAAGCCCAAACTGGAATACAAGTAGTGCTCAACTTACAGGTCATTCAGCGATTGTTCGAAGTTATGACTTACCTAGAAAAAGGGGGTTACAACCCAGTTCTGAAGTTCCTTCAATTGGGCCCCTTGCTGCAGTCATATGACCACACTTTTGGGCACTTGGCAACATGGCCGCATAAATGGCTGCCTGCGGTGTCCCATGGTCACGTGACTGCATTTTAGGACAGTTTTACTGAAAACCGGAAGTTACTTCTGGTTTTCGACAAAACCACACCATAGTGAACAACGGGTACCTTCAACGACCATTGCAAAAAAGGCAGTAAAGTTGGGTCATGTGACCGACCCATTTTTATGACTGTCATGACGGATAGGCTCCATTATGGTCATATGCTGAGGACTGCCTATACTTATGCAGCTCAAGGGGTATAATGTTCCCCAATGTGTAGCAGTAATCTAAGTAAAAGCAAACACTAGACATGTGTTTCCAGTAAGTAAACATTACATTGCGATAGAAGGAAACAGTCTATTTTTTTTCAGGTACTTCTCTTGGCTTACCTCCATTATTCCTGTGTAATATGAAAAAGGTGTTATCCTCAAGCCCTTCACCATGATATCAGACAAATGGTAGGGATACAACATAAGATGATCTCTGCTATATTTTAATAGATCCTCGTAGTATTTGCGTTCATCTTTCTTGATGTGCTTAACTAGGGAAGAAATGAAATGTTAGAACAGTCTTCTTAATTTAGTTAATAATGTAATCCCTTTTGGGGTATAAAGACGTCAATGCAAGCTAGCCTACTTGCACACAAATCTGAACAATACTCTATCCATCCACGTAAGTAAGAAAGTCAGAACAAGACAGAATGGTTGTTATACATAAACCTGTGGCCTGGTGGAAGAAAAATTATATTCTTAATTTATTATTAAAATTATTTATTTATATTTCATCCATATGAACTGCCCATCTCTCTCAAAGAGAGACTCTTAATATCGTATCTCTCTGTCTATTGCAATATTCAAGATTATTTTCCGTAATACTAAAAATGCAGAGTGTAAGACGTAACCATAATGTGGAGGGAATTAAGATCAAAACCGGAATTAAATTCCATAATTTAAATACTTAAACCATTAAAATGAAACTATTGTGCCACACAATAGTTACTATAAATCAGGATTCTTCTATGTTTGTGCTGGCCAAGGATGATGAGAACCAAAATCCTCGACACCCAGAGGAAGCCAGCAACATCTTTGCTCAGAATTGAATTTTTATATGGGTTTTGATGTGTACAATGACATGGGGAACACAATTATCTAAGATGTGTCCATCATGGGTGCAAAATGGTTTGAAGTTTTTAGATTACTGGCAGAGAGATGTGACTTTTCTTTCACCTATAAATAATCAATATAGAATTAACCGAAAAGTCTTGGTAAATATTTTTTTGCTAATACTCATATACTAGCATCTGGTGGCATGCGGAATTAATTAAGAAAGAAGACCAATCCAAGGAATTCAATGAATATCACTTTTATCTTAAAAACTTCCAGAGTATTTATTTAAAGTATGTGTCTCATCCATTTTGCTTAGATTTGAGACTGTTTATAAATGCAAATGATGGAGCTATTTCCATCTACATTTATAAAATTTGAACAAAAACATCTTGCCCTTAGCTGCTCCTATCATAGTTTATGATGTTTTACAGAAATTTGTAGGAACTGGTATATTTTCTTAATCCTCCTTCATAAATTGGTCAATGTACTTCAGCAACAAAAAATCTACTGTAGATCTTTTTTCCAGCATGGCCAGTATGGATAGCACAGTAACAAAATATTTTCCCTTTCCCAAATCTGTACTTCTTTATTCACCTAAGTTATTTCGGTACCGAAGTTGATTGCGGATACTGTACAGCACAACCTGCTTTTCATATTCTCGTTGTGAGTTTCCAAGACCCTGTGAAGGAAACAAATCACATTCATTAGGATAAGCTACTAAAAATTTGATGAACACTCAGATGTTCAGAGATTAACATCCACTCTTTCAGCTTGAAAGCACCACTCATCTTAATGGCTTAATTTTCAACAAAGATGCATGATTGACTGGTAGTAAAACAAAAGTATTTTAATGTATTTTTACGCAAAATAATTGTTGTAAATCTAAATGCTAAAAAATGATTAGAGATTTTCCTCTAAATAGAATCAACTCTTAGAATCAATCTGCATGTTATTTGGAGAAAAAACAACTGCAGAAACAGTTACTGGAAAGACAGTTTATGTCATTGAGGCTGGATTCAATTACTCCCCATTAGTCTTATGAGGGTAAAAACTGTAAGGACCTGGTACAGAACTTGTTGTGAGCACAGATAAGTTTTGAGAATGGAATCAGCATGAATCTCAAAACTGTAGTGGTTTCTAGCATTAAATATACATGGTTTTTATTTAGGTATTCAATTTCTATAACCAGCCATCTCACCCAATGTCTTAATACAACACATTGTATCAACGATATATCAAACATATCATTGAAAAATATCAATATTGCAGACCTATTTTTGAGAACAGTATAAAATAAAGTTATTCACATGCTCTTTGTAAATGTCACTACTAAATCTTGTCTACCCATGTATTCTTGAGAGCAGTCTGCATCTGAGGCTAGTGACAGACAACATACCAATTGTAGTACAGCATTTAAACTGAAACCAGTAATCTAATTTTATAAAGAGCCAAAAATGCAGAATGAAATTTATTATTCATTATATTGGAACTGTGGAATGAAGAATTGGAATATCCAATCTTGATAAATCAATGGATCCAGGTTTTAAAAACACAAACAATATATGATTTAAGAATGGCATCAATTCATTAGAAAATATAATTTCATAACTATTGGAACTCTCAGAGAAAGTTTAGAAAGTGTTGGGCGTTAGGTATATCTTGCTGGAATTGTATGACATTTGATATACAACTTTATTTTTGTTTCAAATCATGGCATTTGTTAATATGCTTTAGGAAAGAAATGCAATAGCCAAAAATGAACTAAATCCTTATTCTGAAACATGGACTTTGTCACTTCATGAAGGACTTTGGCTCTACCAAGTCTGGTGCTGACAAAGAGTATAATCTTAAGTAAATGAAAAGAAACTTCTTGATAATAAGAAATGGATTCAAGATATGAGTTGTTTTTTTTTCATTTTTAAAAAGTCTTTATGTTCTTAAAAATGAAAATTCAGATCTTAGTAATAAGCTTAAAGATTAAAATTAATTTTATCTCAATACAAAATGGACTATATTATATGTCTTTTTTTGTGAGTTTCCTTTTTGGTACATTATTTTAATTACTTTAATGTTCTTTTCATGTTTTGCTGGTGTTACATTTGTTTCTATTTCACTACTAGAAACACTAAGACAATTAAGTTTAATGCTAACCATTAATTAGGATGGTAATAAGACACTGATACGAATGATATAAAGTTACCAGCTCGCAAAACAAATGCATGCAATTCTGCCATAAAGAGATTATAACAGCATTGATTGTTAACTCTTCCACGTCATGTGTGTTAGATTGTGCACAAGAATGCTCATCTCTTTTAATCTGTGATGTTGGGAAAGTGGTAGAAAAGAGGATGACCAGCAATAAAGGGGATGGACCCATATACAGTGGCAAGGATGACAGATGACTGGAAGACCAGGTGAGGGACATATCATGATGGAGGGAGTTTATCTATGCGGTCGCTAGGAGCAAAAAAATGACCTTATGGCACAGAATCAACAGCACTTCAATCAATCAGAATAGAGCTGGAAGGGGGACCTTGGAGGCCTTTTAGTCCAACCTCCTGCTCAAGCAGGAGACTCTGTGCCATTTATAATAATAATAATAATAGTAAAGTTGGAAGGAACCTTGAAGGTCATCTAGTCCAACCCCCTGCTCAGGCAGGAAACCCTATACCATTTCAGACAAACTATATCATTTCGGATAAAATTTCAGACAGGTGTCTGTCCAGGATTTTCTTAAAAACCTCCAGTGAGGAAGCACCTACAACTTCTGATTAGTTGCAACATTTAGTAATTTCAAGTTATGTCTGCACAACTCTCTAACCCAGTGGTTCTCAACCTTTTTAATGCCACGACCCCAACCGGTCGTAAGTCGAGGACTAAACCGGTCGTAAGTCAAGGACTAAACCGGTTGTATGTCAAGGACTAAACCGGTCGTAAGTCAAGGACTACCCAACCGGTCGTAAGTCGAGGACTTTCCCTGCCCGGGAGCGCCGCGCATGCGTGGTTCCGCCCCCTGCGCCGGCCGAGTCATAGCTGGCAAGCAGCAGAGACGGAGCAGGCCGACCACCAGCTGGCCCAGCCCAAGGGAGGTAAGGCACCTGCCGGAAAAGGGGGAAAAAATGGCGGACAAAAAAAATGGCGGACAGCCTTGCTTGGCGACCCCCATGAAATGGTCGATCGACCCCCAAATGGGGTCCCGACCCACAGGTTGAGAACCACTGCCCTATACCATTTCGGACAAACTATACCATTTCGGATAAAATTTCAGACAGGTGTCTGTCCAGGATTTTCTTAAAAACCTCCAGTGATGAAGCACCTACAACTTCGGATTAGTTGCAACACTTAGCAACACTTAGTAATTTCAAGTCATGTCTGCACAACTCGCTAACCCATAATTGGCTTAACCGCACTTTACTGACCTAATCCCATTCTTAAGGGATCTTAATAACGCTGTCTGCGCAGACTACTTAATCCAAATGTGAGCTAATCACATTTTAATTTAGAATGTTCTGCGAACTCATTTCAGAGGTGACTCGGAATATGGTCCTGTGCAGAGCCTCAGGTAACCCTGGAGCTGAGGAGACCTTGAGAGAAAGTCGTCTGTGTCCACCTCAGCTTGAGGAATGGAAGCTCCTGAGCCCAAGCCTTGGTAGTCGAAGATCGTGCCTTCTTTTTTCAACCGACGCTCTTCCAGTAAAAGGGAAGTAGCATTCGGGTTAATGAGGCCCCTAAGGCACCTTTTGAGACCTGTGGACTTCAACTCCCAGAATTCCTCAGCCAGCAAGGAGGACGCAGGAGGCCACGTACGTGCGTACCTGCCCTGGAACGGGGTCATTAACAGCTGCTGGGCTTGATCGGCATTTGCCTTAGCCCAGGGGTAGGCAACCTTGGCTCTTTTATGACTCGTGGACTTCAACTCCCAGAATTCCTGAGCCAGCATGGCTCAGCTTGGAAACCTCTCCCTTTCCCCTCAGCATGGCTGGCTCAGGAATTCTGGGAGTTGAAGTCCACGAGTCATAAAAGAGCCAAGGTTGCCTACCCCTGCCTTAGCCTCTTCGGGCTGCACCTCGCCCCGTTCCCCGCCAAGGGGTCCCATTGCTCGGGAGAAAAGGGAACCGCAGCCCGCCTAGGGGGGAAAAGCCCGAAAAGGCTGCGTTACGTCGGTTAGGAAGGCGGGGCAGAAGAGAAACTTCCAGCATGAACAAGCAGCAGACACCGGCTCGACTTCTGGCTCAGCCTGACTGGGCTACGGGCAGCCCGAGGGGTCAATTTCGCGGGGAGGCGGAGGGGCGTTGCTGCGTATGGGTGCCGAGAGGGGTCAGTCAGTCAGTACCTGCTTAACGCTGGCGGGGAGACGGGCCCAGGGGTAGTTTTGGCGAATGTGAAACTCCACGTCCACATTCATGGCAGGTTCCCCGGGATGGGATGGGGTGGAGCGAGCAAGGGAGAACGGACGGAGGATTGGCGGGCCCCAAGTCCTCTTCGCGGCCGCCTCAGCCCCGCTCCTGAGGCGAGGCTCCGCCGCGACCCAACGCAACTGCTCAAACTTGCCTTCCGCTCTCCCTCACCGCTTCCGCGTTGGGGACGCCGGCGGGCCCGCCCCTCCGCCGTGCGTCACTTCCGGCGCTGAGCCGAGCTGAACGGCCTGGGAGCGCGTGGCAGGGGTGGTGATAGAGAATGCGCGCGGCGGATCCATGGGGTCCTCCTACCTAATGAGCGATTCGGTTAGCTGTAATAGTTCCTTGTGTATAAAAGAAAAGGCATATCCTTTTGCTTTACGAGAAAGAATCCTTGAGAAGCCGAAAAAAATGGGACCGTCGGACCGTCAGCTCACAACCTGATATCGGTGAAACTACGATTCCCGTGATGCTTGGCGCGTGCTCCGCCCTTTTATTTGTGACGTAGAGAATGGAAGGAAGGCGGAGTCTAAATATTAACCTGAATGGCCTTATTTCATCTGTATGTATTCCTTGGAGCAGTGTTTCTCAACCTTGACAATTTTAAGGCATGTGGACTTCAACTCCCAGAATTCCACAGCCAGCAGTGCTGGCTGTGGAATTCTGGGAGTTGAAGTCCACATGCCTTAAAATTGTCAAGGTTGAGAAACACTGCTTTGGAGTATAAATCCTATCATGCTTCGCTGACGGTTATACGGTCTGTCAGGCCATTGAAAACCGACAGGAGGCTTATTGCTCTGTTTGGGTAATATGTTCCTATGCCAATAGTTTAAAAAAAATGATTTTATGATTTTCCAAAGCGCCTGAAGGTAGGACAAGAAGCAACGGATGGAAACTAATCAAAGAGAGAAGCAACCTAGAACTAAGGAGAAACTTCCTGACAGATAGAACAATTAACCAGTGGAACAACCTGCCTCCAGAAATTGTGAATACTACAACATGGAAGTTTTTAAGAAGAGACTAGACAGCCATTTGTCTGAAATGGTATAGGGTTTCCTGCCTGAGCAGGGGGTTGGACTAGATGACCTCCAAGATCCCTTCCAATTTTTTTATAATAATAATAATAATAATAATAATAATAATAATAATAATAATAATAATAATAATAATAATAATAATAATAATAATAATAATATTTATATGGAGATTCTCAGTCACCCAGGTCATGGTTATCCCTAAGGTGCTTTTTCAAGAGGTAATTGGATTTTCTTGTTTTTCTTTGTCTTCAGCTCCGAAGACAAGAAAAGTCCAGTTGCCTCTTGAAAAAGCACTTTTGGGACGTGATTCTATGAAATAATTTTTTGAAAAGCCAGTTAAAGTGCAAACAATCATAAAAGCTGCAAACGCAAGGATGAGCTAGAGAGCAAGTGTTCTGATGGAAAGGTTGATAGGTTTTTTTTTATTTTTTTGCTGTTCATGGAGTTTTCCTCACTCTTACAGTATATAGGCACATATGCAAAATTAGAATGACTTAGAAGACAAAAAGATTAGCTCTTTGAACATTATCTAATAATGACTGTTTGCAAAACCATAATTAGTGGCTTAAAAAGCTCAGTGCCTAAGTCCAAATCAAGCAAATTGTTTTATATCTTATTTTATGTTGTATTGCCTAAGCCAATATACTAAATCCCAGTGAAATTCATTTTGGTTTTGCATATTTTGTAGGTTTGTGCCTTTGAGTCAAGTCTTGACTTGGTGATTGCCTGGACAAATTCCTGCAATTTTCATGGCAAGGTTTTTTAAAAAGTAGTTTGCCATTGCCTCTTTCCTAGACCTGAAAGAGAGCGACTGGCCCAAGATCTGCGAAGAGGGATAAGTAAAGAATCATGAGGTGTCTCAACATCACAAAAATACTATCATTTAAATCTTTGCATTAAAGATCAGGAGGAAGTGCATAAGATGTGGTTTGCATTGTATCACCAACTCTGTTCTGGGATTGAATCCTGGGAAGGAAATTAACTAATTAAAGCATGTCCAGAGAACTGCACAATAATAAAGAACCCAAAAGGAAAAATTTAAGGATAATAGTAGGAGGCATTGGGTATCTTTTGCCTAGAGACAAGAATGCTACAGTACAGTGAAATACGATAGCAGAGTACAAATGTCTGAATGGGTGTTATGTAAAACCAGGACAGAATTGTTCTATAGGGCAGGACAAGAAATTTCAAGGACGTAATTTTGGCTGAACAGCAGAAAAAATTCCTACAGTAACGGTAAGAACTCTTCAGTAGTAAATCAAACAGGTAGTGGACTCTCCTTTGTTGGAGGGGTTCAAGGATAGCTGAACGGCCATGTCAGAGATGCATTCCTGCATTGAGCAGAGGGTTGAAATAGATAATCTCTGAGGTTCTTTCTAGCCCTTACATTCTGTGATATCCTTGCTGCAAAAATCCATTGCCTTATGCCAGTGATGGCGAATTTTTTAGAGACCAATGCCCCAAAACCACTCCCCCACCCGCTCCTGCTCTGCCCCTGCCCGCCCCCTCCCAGGCCACCCACAGCCCACCACAGCAGATCATACAGGTGGCCCAGCAGTGCCATGACAGCCACACCCTCTGCCCTCCGCCCTCCGCCCACGCCCCACAGCATCATCTGCATCTGACGGGGCGCAAGGCTGGGGTCTTTGCCCGGCTGCCATGTCCTTGGCTGCACTGCTCTGTGCGGGCCGCACCCAGGGGCAACTCTCCAGGGGGGGGCTGCTGGTGAGGGGGCCTTGGGGGGAGGCGGGGCTGAGGACATAGCGCACGTGCCCACAGCGAGGGCTCTGAGTGCCTCCTCTGGCACGCATGCCATAGGTTCGCCACCACTGCCTTATGCTATGCTATAATCACATCCCAAAGTTCTGATTTGACTATGCCATACTAATAATCTGAATAGCACTTGTGCAGGATTTTGCTGTGTTGATGTGCTGCTCACACTCCATTTTGGCTGATCCACATTAATCTCTTATTTCAAATTTTTTATTAATTTTCAAATAAACAGACAAATTACAAATATGGTATACATTAATAAAAAAAGCCCCATATTATATATCTATTCAGAGATGCTCAGCCGCCCCCCCCCGCGTCCACCCTCTCTTTCACCCTTCCTACCTACTTCCCTCCTCCTCTCTTCTCTTTCTACCTACACCTCTCTCCTCCTTCCTCCTCTCAACTACCCTACACATCCCACCTCCTTCTTTTCCTCATCCTTCAGACGCAGTTTGGGTGCACCAGCCGAGCATCTCATCTTCTTCAAATACATTATTTCACTATAACATTCTAATATACCAAAATTTACATTTACATCTTTAATCCCCTCCTCCCCTCCCCCCCCCCGGACTTCCCAGAACCGAATACAGGGTTATGCACATGTCATCCCAAGTCTAAATAAAAATACCCAAACATAATACAATCAGATATTAACATACTTTAATTAAAAAAAATTATCAACTTGACATAAATATAAAATATATATAATATGATAAATAAAGAACAATATAAAATCTACTCAAAGGCTATATAATATTTGTTAACTTCATCCTTTCTCTGAATATACTCTATCCATCTTCTCCAAACCAAAATAAATTTTTTTCTTGAGATTGATCTTTCAAATATGCGGAAATCTTGGCCATTTCTGCAAAATACGGCTGATCCACATTAATCTCAATTCAGTTCATTCTATGAAGGCTGGACTTGGAATGTTGCTTTCCAACCTGCGGCTGTCTTAATATATTTTAATATGCACCGATAGCAAAATAATTGGGAAGGTTAGCCACAAAGTACTGTATATACTTCATTTGTGAGAAGCAGGAGCATGCTGGAAACATAGGTTGCAGCAATGACATGGATTTTTTGCGCCTGGATTTCTAACTTGCCTCCAGCCTGAAAAGTCTTGGGCAAGCTTGTGTGTATTTTCAGCACGTATGAGAATCTGGTGGCGACAGTGGACGATTACAGCTTTGGAATGTAAGAGGAGTAGATGAATGATTGAAGAGCATCAATGAATGAATAAGACGAATAAAAATAGGTCCAATGAGTATCTGGTAAATTAAAAGAAAGGGGAAGGTTGCAATTGATTTAAATGAGGCCCTGATCCAGCAGATAGAATTGATGAATATGTGGCCAGGAAGTGAACAGGAAAACAGAGAAAGTCATGACTGGACAAAGGAGAAGTGAGAAAGTTTAATCAGTAAAAGAAAGTGTTACAAAGCAGTGTGTGGAGGTGGTTGAAGCAAGCAATAGAAAAGTGTTAGGGAGGCTTGGTTTAAATTAGATTTAGCTGCGTTTTCTTATCTTTCTCTTATCTCTTACCTGAATTTCTTTGGATTAGTATCCCTTAGTTCCTTTCTGCCCTTTGCATAATGTTGCTTACTCAGGAAGGGGGATAGCATGATGGAGATGTGGGTATATTTTGGAGCAACCCAGTCTTAGGTGGGAAGTGAAACTTCTTGCTTCCGATTTCAAGAATCTTGATGTGCAGCAGTCTATTTTTAGGACAGCTGCAACCCTCACATTTCCCCATTTTGGAGCTATGCTGCAGTCATGCTCTGCAGCTGTTGCTGCCAGGCGGGCACGCAGGTATCTTGCTCGGCTGTGGCTTGGGGGGGGGCACTTTTTTCAGTGCCATTGTAATTTCAAACAGTCACTAAGTGAACTGTTGTAAGTCGAGGACTACCTGTTCTTTATCACTTTTTTCCTTTTTGGGGGGGGGGTCATCAAGTTTTTGACACCTTGCTAGGTGACTGGTGGTACTCGGATGTTGCCATATCCTAAAAGTGGTACAATGGGTGAAAAGGTTGAAAAGCCCTGCAATAAAGGACTCTCTAAAGGCCAGCCTTGCCTTGACCACCTGGATCATAACAGAACAGAGAGCTCTAGTCCTGTCTTAGATATCAAAGCCAGCTGGATGACTTTGGGCCAGTCACTCTCTCCCAGCTCAACCCAACTCACAAGGTTATCGTGGGGAAAATAAATAACTCTTGAGTTATTTATAGAAAAATAAGAAAGGCAGGATTAAAATAAATATTGCCTCAGGATTCTCATGATTAAAGCTGCTCTTCCCACTATCCATTTTTTCTTTAGTTACTACTAAAA